TAATTTTCCCTTTGGGGCCCCGCCCTGGCCCCAGGGGTTGGGGTAGGAATCCCAATTTTACAATTTTGAAGCCTCATCTACCAAGGATGATTCTGACCAAGTTTGAAAAAAATCCATCCACTGGTTCTTGAGAAGAAGTTGAAAATGTAAAAGTTTACGCACGAAGCACGACGCACGACGGACGACGACGGACGACAACGGACGACAACGGACGAAAAGCGATTGGAATAGGTCACTTGAGCAAAGCTCAGGTGACCTAAAAAGTATTGTTTACATAACCTAAATTAACTAGAGTAAACTTTACACTCTCCTAATAGGAGAGCGAATTTCCTAGGAGTAATGCAGTTTACAATTTAGTCAATGCACCTAAGGACTTTCCATCTATGACGAGTATATTATGCACCACCCTTCTGGCCCTTTGGGTGAGACAGGATATTATTTTTACCATTTAATTGCTAATTCATAATAATTATGCCAACCAAGTCTGAATAATTTCTTGCTTAGAAGAGATAAAATATACCCCGAAGTGTTATTTATTAAGATAAACTATAACATTGCACCCTCTACCAAAGGGAGAGAAGATAACCCAGGGATAATGAATTTTTCAATTCAGTTAAAGCACTTGATCCTTTCGATCCATTAAGGGCATGTCATTGTAGTACTTCTTAAGCTTGATGATATGTTTTGGTTTTTTATAATTTTTAACTATTTTTTCCATTTGGGCCCAACCCCTCCAGTCCCTAGGGCAAGGACGGACCCTTTTTTCTCATTGATGATAAAAAAATACACAACAAGACGCCCAGAGGTCCTTTATCGCTCGACTTGATAATAAAGCAACCATAGACAATTATTCTTATTACATATAACACTGCAACTATTTCCAAATATTGGTTTTATCTCTCAGCATCACCCGCCTCTCCTTAGATCCCTTCTTTCTGCCCCCTGGAATTGGGATGGATTTTCCTCAATACCCCCTATTGGGCCCGCCCATCTGCCTCCGTAAAGTAATCATCTATTTATACAATTGAAGTCCCCTTTGCCCAAGGATGCTCTACACAGAATTTGGTTAAAATCCCTCCACATAAACTAAGGGAAAAGGATTTTAAATATATTACTATATACCCGCGACTGGACCATTCCCCTTGAATCCCAGGGAGTCCACACTAAGTTAAGACAAATTGAGTCCCCCTTGCAAAATGATGTTCTGGAAACAATTTGGCTAAAATAACTTTAATCATACTGAAGAAGAATGATTATGAAGATTTGAACCTCTAATTCCCCTTTTGGGTACAATCTGTCATCAAGAGGGACAACATCCTCCGTTTATACAAATTCTGTCCCTTTTGCCCAAGGACGTTTCATGCCAACTTTGGATAAAACCTTCCAATCTTATAGAAGAAGAACAATTTTGAAGATTTTAACTTCAAATTCCCCTATCGGTCCCCGACCATCAGCACCCAGAGGGGCAACACCCTCAATTTATACAACATTTAGTCCCAAATTTGGATAAAGTCCCTCCAATAGTACAGGAGAAGAAGGATTTAAAAGGTTTAAACCTCAAATACCTCTATTGGGTCCACCCCACAGCACCTAGAGGGTCCAAGGACGTCCCAGGCAAAACCTGTATGTAATCCCTTTAATGGTACAGAAGAAGAAGAATTTTAAAGATATTAACCTCACATTCCCCTATTGGACCCCGCCCCTAATCACCTAGAGGGACCACACCCTACGTATACAGAAACATGAGTACCGTTTGCCCAAGATTGCTGCAGGCCATCTTTAGATAAAATAGGTTTAAACCTTAAATTTCACTATTGGGTCCTACTCTTCAGCACGTAGAGGGGCAACCCCACAGTTAATACAAAACTTTGGTCAAAATCAATATAGCTGTTCGGGACAAGAAGCGTTTCATAGAAAAAGTTGACGGACGACGGACAACTACGATTACGCTTAGAATACAGTTCAATCCTTAAATAGCGAGATTCTTAAAACAGGGATCCGATTGACAATGATTGCCAGCATATAAAACTTTAACATTTCCTTGAAAAATAAAAAATAAATCCCCTTAAATCGACGTCATATTAACTTATAATCATTTGCCTCCTCTGATTGACATTCTTTAAATGCTTAAGTATGTTTCATTTAATTAGAGTTGTCTGAACAGATTATGATAAAAAAAGAAGACAATGTCCATTCACTTTAAAACAACGTTATATAAGCTTAAAAGTATCGACATCTGTTAAATGCTTAAATGTGTTTCATTTAATCAAAGATTGTGATCAAAAAAGTAAATGAAGACAATGTTGTTGAATGGGTTGTTACAAATATGTGTGTAAATGTAATTTTCTAAATACATATGTCAATCATTAATGTTAAAGATAAGCACAATATTAGAAGTCATGCATTTCTGGATTCAATAGTTGTAAACATTATTAACTCGAAATTACGTCTATGATTTGGATTTAACGGATGGTCTCTTTCTAAAAATGGAATTTAAATGTTATACTTTGATTTCATTTCAGCCAAACAAAACAAATCATTTTGTTTCAATAGACATATTTTTAATGTTTCCCTGTTCTTAACTTTAATTTCGGTTTCATATGGCCAAATATCTGTTGTTTAGTCGGCACCTCTAGGTCTGAAACACAATCATTTATTCTAATTAATGCCATCAAACAAATCCACAAACCAGTCGGATTCTTCGTTGGTATCATTACTCTCGGGGAATTCTTCATAACAAGAGGTTCGTCCGACTCATCCTAATTTATGTTGTTTAGTCGGCACCTGGATAAAATCCCTCAAATGGTTCAGAAGAAGGAGAATTTTAAAGGTTTAAACCGTAACTTTCCCTATTGGATCCCACCCTTCAGCACGTAGAGGGGCAACCCCCACAGTTAATACAAAACTGAGTCCCCTTTGGTCAACATCAATATAGCTGTTCGGGACTGGAAGCGTTTTAAAGAAAAAGTTGACGGACGACGGACAACTACAATTACCCTTAGAATACAGTTCAATCCTTAAATATCGAGATTCTGATACAATCATTTACTCTAAATTACTGCCATCAGACAAATCCACAAACCTGTCGGATTCTCTGTTGGTATCATCACTCTCGGTGAATGCTTCAGTACAAGAGGTTGGTCTGACTCATCCTTCAGTACAATCTGCCGATTTTCTAGTCTGGTCTTCAGAATCTCCGCCAGGTACAATGCAGACAATTGGTGTGGCGTCTTCGCCTCGCTGATTGTAAACTTTAGGTAAATACATCCTGAAGTGTAAATATGAATTAATAAAACACTAAACTAACTTCAGAACAAATGAAATTCATATTAATATATTTAATCAAATATAAAAGCAAAAACACAAGACAGGATAAATGGTCAGTTTCATATCACAATTGTCAACACAGAGATTAACAGTCACCATTAAACCACACTACATCGCTGATATTAACTCATATCCTGTCAACCGGCTGATAGTATATTTTTGATTCCATGCAAACGTCCTCAGGACACTTTTGTGTCATCGGGACGCAAGGTTCTCCCTACAACTCAATATCAAATGCAGACGGTCACAGTCAGATGGGCAAATTTCTCGATAATGACAGGCCACACAAATTTTGTATTCAAACTTTATTTGTCAGAACAAAATATCTGACAGAAACAATCCATAACTTTATTGAGAAATTTCACAAATAAATCTCAAACTTCCAAACTGTTTCTAATAAGGTATCTCCCATATTCAAAGAGAAAGAGAAACACTTTAGCGCATTCGATCCTTTACTCTGGCAATGTGATAAAAAAAGCTCTGGAATTTAACCAACAAGTAACGGCTTAGCTTATTTGAGCTGCTACAAATTATCATTTCATGTTTTACTAATGGTACCTGATATTGCGTCATAAGATGCTTATCAAATGAAGCCATATTGCACATAAACGTTTAAATTAAGTACAAAAAACGATCGAAGCACGACACCAATTTTGAAAATGTTTGAAAAGATGATTTGTGTAATAAAGACAATACAATAGTATGTAACGTGTGTCAATTTGGATTGTTTTATGTATTATGACGTTCATACCTGAACCTCCAGTCCCTTTTATTCTGCCGTTGACTTCTGGGCACTGCTTTTGCATTTGACAGGTACACATTACTGGTAAGTTTGGGTTAATGTAACGTCCCTGAAACTTGCATTCTAGTTTGGCAGGCGTTTCGTTTGGCATCCCTTGAAGAAATAAGTATTTATTACAGTGTAAATTTAATGTAATTTTGACAACATTTAGACAAGATTAACAAAGCATTAAAACATGTATTTGTCAAGGACGCTTAACAAGGAACTTCATTACATCACATGGATGTATAAGTTTAATAATAACTGCATCAACAACTGGTGATATTTCATTTAATATCAATTACAGTTGTGTGACTGCACAACGCACCTCAAATAGCGTGCGCACACTGTCCGCACATAGTTCGTACTAATGTGCGATTTAATTGTCG